CGTCTTCGAGTGCGCTGACTGAAAGCAGATTGTACTTCAGGTCAGGCACATACAGACAATTCGTCAATCGCACTATGTGCGTCTTTGGCACCGTGCCCTTGTACAGGCGTCTTGTCCTGTTTGTTGGCTTCAGGTTGACCCTAAGGGCCACCTCGCCCTCGCCCTCTATAGCCACCTTTGCCCCGTTGGCCACCTTGAGTTGGCTGGTTGGTGGTGGGAGCGGCCTGAGGTGCACAAAGAAATTAGGAGAAGTGAAGACGTGCCAGCTGCAGCCTGAGTCAAGCAGTGCCTCATCATGCATATGAAGAGCATCGACAGCGTCAGCGTGAGCATCAGCTGCGACATTGGACTGCACAACTGAGGGAATCCTAGCTACAGCTGTGGGCATTCTGATGTCCTGAGCCACGTTAGGCTGATCAGGCCTATCGAACCCATTCCCATCAGCGCTGTGTGCTGCTCTTGCTCGCTTCTCGCTATCCTCACTCATTTGGTGGGTGCGATGCACATCTCTGTCTGTTCCAGTGGTGCCTTTGGCACTCACCTTGTTGTTTTTCTTGCCGATGGTCTGGTTGTTTCCCTTCTTAGGTCCACCACCATGGCCACGGCCGTTGCCGTTCTGTCCGCCCCGCCCTCTGGATGACCCGTGACCGCCTCTGCCACGGCCTCTGTGGGCTCTGTTGGCACGTACAGCATCCCGACCTATGCCCAGGTGCCAGCATTCCCCAGTCGAGTGATTCGACATGCCACATATGTCGCATTTGGTGGAGTTGCTGTTGGTCATCACCTCATCGCGGGTCATTGCAGAGTGAGCGACGGGGGGCATTACAGACTCGCCATTGTTGGTCATGACTATGTCGTTCTGTGCGCCGGCAGCTGAGCTGCTCGTGTTCGCATTCTGTGCAGACCTTAGCAGGTTCTGGTCACAGTGGTTGCGCAGCAACTGCTGAAACGCAGCGAAGTTCTTGTTCGCCTCGTCTTCTGGTTGCAGATTGAGGAAGGCCAGGGGTTGTTGGTATGCCTGTTTGGGCATGATGGCCTTGACGGCGGCTACTTTGTCGGTTTCGTCCAAGCCATACACGAGCTTCTCGTGCTGTTCGTCCATCTTGGCGCGCTGAGCCTCGAGGGGCTTCAGCTGCTCGAACTTGCCGATCATGTACCCGAGGTTTGGCTCGAGATTGCATGCATCGCCCTTCCACTGGTACGTGCGGATAAGGGTGTGCAGCTTCGACAACTCAGAGGGTGACACCTGGTTGTACTTAGCCATCAGAGCTCGCCAAGACAGCCATCTATCCACCTTTAACAGTGGGTCTTTGTCTTCCTCTGCTGCCTCTATCTGTGCGTTTTTCACCAGATTGAAGACAGTGTCGTTGCCCTTGCAGGCAGTCAAGAGCTCAGCGTGAAGGAGATGTCACTTGTGGATCTCGTCCTTCTGCTGCCTGCTCAGCGTCTCCCACTCCGCGTGCTCTTAGCTGTAAGCATCAGTCCACAGGCCAGTCTCGGGGTCGTTTTCTACTTCAGGCCTGTCGCCGACTTCTGTCAGCTGGGGTCTCTCGTGAAGCGCCTCGTCACCCACGACGTCAGCCAAGCCATTGATTGACGCCCACGACTCAAAGTGCGTCTTCCACTTCTGAAAATCATCCCCGTAAGCCTTGAACTCACTAGGAAATGCCCATGGACGTATCTTTGAGCTAGTGTCATCGCTTCCGCCTTCATTGCCACACACCCAACGACCAACCAGCAAGGTAGGAATGCCTATGAGCACGAACAGCTTGACAAACACATCGAGTGTGTGTCTGCATCCTTTCTGTGTCAGGTTGGCTGGTGAGATTGGCAGCGCGTGCACTCGTGGCAGCATCACGTAGACGATGAGCAAGAGCAGTCCAGTGTAGCCCAGACCAGTTGCTCTCTGGTTAATATACCACACAGCCAGGGTAGCGATAGACGGATAGACGATAGCTGTCATAGTCAGGTTGAGGACAAACGTTGCTGCGCACCCTAAGTAAGATGCCACATAGCTGACGAATGCCGTTGTCATAGCAGTCATCTGCGTCACCATGGTCGTCAGGGTCGTCAGTAGATACCCCAGATAAACAGCCACATAAACAACCAGCAGATGGACCACATAATAGATAATAAGCACAACCACACAGCTTGTCAGGAAAGGCAGCATAACAAAGCACCACATGACGTAGCAGCCTCGCGCGACTTTGTTCAGCCATTTCAGGAACCTCCATGTCCTCTGTTCTGACATCAACACCCAGAAAGTGACGTAAGTTACCGCCAGTGCCAGGGCGTTCGGCCAGTCGATAGTGACGTCTCCTATGTGTATCTCCAGCTTCATGAGCCACACAGTAGTGTCCTTGATAGTCATAAGCGTGCCGGGTGCCCCATTGCAGAGGTCGAGGCCCACAGCAGCCAGTAGTAGCC